TGTGCTCCATGGGATCTGTGGGGAGCAGGGAATGTGCTCCATGGGATGTGTGGGGAGCTGGGATGTGCTGGGAGCTGTGCCCCGTGGAGGGGTCTGTGGGGAGCGGGGGATGCTCCAGGAACTGTGCCCCATGAGGTGTGTGGGGAGCAGGGAATGTGCTCCATGGGACGAGGTGTGGGGAACAGGAGATGTGCTCCATGGAGGGATCTGTGGGGAGCAGGGGATGTGCTCCATGGGATCTGTGGGGAGCAGGGAATGTGCTCCATGGAGGAATCTGTGGGGAGCAGGGGATGTGCTCCATGGAGGGATCTGTGGGGAGCAGGGGACACTCTAGGAGCTGTGTTCCACGGGGTGTGTGGGGAGCAGGGAATGTGCTCCATGGAGGGATGGATGTGTGGGGAGCAGGGAATGTGCTCCATGGAGGGATCAGTGGGGAGCAGGGAATGCTCCAGGAGGTGTGCCCCATGAGGTGTGTGGGGAGCATGGGATGTGCTGAGAGCTGTGCTCCGTGGAGGGAAGTGTGGGGTGCAGGGGATATGTTCCATGGGACTCCCTTCCTTTTCCTCCACCCCCCTGCACCCCTGGAGCAAGGGGGCTCGATGGAGGGATGGGTGGAAAGCAGGGAGTGCTCCAGGAGCTGTGTCCCATGAGATGTGTGGGGAGCAGGGGATGCTCTGGGAGCTGTGCTCCATGGAGGGATCTGTGGGGGAGCAGGGGATGTGCTCCACGGGATGTGTGGGGCACAAGGGAATGCCCTGGGAGCTGTACTTCATGGTGGGATGCGTGAGGTGCAGGGGATGTGCTCCATGGGATGTGCTCCATGGGATGTGTGGGGAGCACACGGTACCTGGGTGCTGTGTTTCGTGGAGGGATGTGTGAAGAGCGTGGGATGCACTTGGAGCTGTGCTCCGTGGGATGTTTGGGGTGCACAGGGAATGCTCTTGGAGCTGTGCTCCGTGGGATGATTGGGGTGCTTTGGCTTGCACAGGGAACCCTGGAGGCTGTGCCCTGTGGAGGGGCACATGGAATGCTCTGCCCTGCATTGTGGTGCAGGGGATGCCCTGGGGGCTGTGCTGTATGGAGGAATGTATGGGATGCTCCTACTTGCAGGGCATGCCAGAGGGGATTTGCTGTGGGAAGGGGTGTGTGGGTTGTCCTGGGTTGCTGTGTGGTGCATGGGATGCCCCAAGAGCTGTACTTCGTGGAGGGATGTGTGGGGTGCTCTGGGGTGCCCACGTGGCTGTGCTGTGCTGGGGGCACTGGGTTGTGCTGGGGGCACTGGGTTGTGCTGGGGGCACTGGGTGTCCCCGTGGCTGTGGGGTGGCACTGGGGTGTGCTCTGGAGGCCAGGCTGGTGTGTGGGGTGCTCTGAGGTTTGTGGGGTGCCCTCAGGGCTGTGCCGTGGAAAAGGACGGTGTTGGGTGGATGAGAGAGGTGGCTCTGGGATTCCAATCCCAGTGAGGGGCTGGGACATGGGATGGGAGGGGCTGCAGCACCAGGGCTGGGCTGTTGGATTTGAGAGTGAGAAGTGTCCTAGGAGAAAGAAGCTGGAGTAAGTGGGGTGGGAGCTGCGTGTGTGAACTCTGCAGTGGAGCTGGAGCGAGGGGCTGGGGCACAGAGGTCTGTGGAAGGGATGTAGGGATTGGAATAAAAGGTGGAACAGGCAGTGATGGGGTGGGAGATGGTGTGTGGGACATCACGTCATCTGGGATGTGTTGTGAGGAAGGGATGGGGGGCTTTGGTGCAGGAAGAACTGAAATATGGGTGTCTGCAGGAAAAGAGGAAGAGGTGGATGAAGCAATGTGGAGTATGAGGTCTGCTGGGGAGAACTGGGTTGATACACGAGGGGATGGAAGGATGTGAGGAGCTGGGACTTGAGTCATTGGGAGAAAGGGATATGGGAGTGGGACTGCTGTGGTATGGGGAGGCACTGGGAGCCAGAATGTGGGGTGGGCAGGAAGTGCTTTCAGCTTGGGGGAGGTGGTGCAAGTGGTCATGAGGGAAACTGTAGGGCTCCAGAGCTGGGAAAGCAGGGTAGGCAGTTCAGGAGAGCAGGAATCCAGGGAAGCTGAGCATGTAGTGTTGGACTGGTATGTGGGATAGCTGTGCAAGAGGAGTTTGTGGGATACCAGGAGTGTGGGAGGGGATCTTGTATATAGGGATTGTGGGGAGGAGCAGTATCTGACAAGGCAGGAGCAGTGTGTTTATTTGGAAGTATTCCTGCTAGGTAGAGGAGAGGCATTTTGTGTGTGTGTGTGTGTGAGAGAGAGAGAGAGAGAGGCAATCTGTGCCCTGGCTGGCTGCAGAGGGGGATGAGAAAGGCTAAATCTTTGGAAACACTGCAAGTTCATGAGGCCAAGGGTTGGATGATGAGGAGAAACGAACACTGAAGACCCCAAATGCTCAGGGAAATGATGGGACAGGCAGATGCAGGAAGGCAGCACGGCTCCACCTCTGAGATGAGCGAGAGCACCCTGGTTTTCTGTGTAGTCCAGCTTTCTGTCCCTGAGGTCTCAGTGTAGGTGGTGGAATGATGGGACTGGAGAGGCCTCTGCTGATGGAGTGTTTGGGATGTGGAAGGTGGATGTTGCTCGCGGAGGGGAGACAAAGCGCGAGGACGCAGATGGGAGGAATCCGATGTGACAGTCAACTGTGGGTTGCTATTTGGGTATAAAAAATTAGGGTGGGATGATTACATGATTAGTGGCTTAATAGTAAACTACATGAGGAATCAGGAAATTGTCAGGCAGCAAAGAAAGAAAGTAAGTACAAAAGAAGTGTTTAGTAGGGAGGTGCTTGTGGAAGGGTTCAAAGCCACCAACGTGAAAGGGAAGATGCTTTTACTCTCCAGGTGCCAAACCTAACTTGGACTCTGAAACTGGTCTGGAAATGACCATGAACCTCACTTTCTGGGGAGAGGAACATCAAGTCTTGTAGCTCTAACCTGGTAAAGTGACACCACCTTGGTCTGGGCAGAGAAGAAGGGGTTGTGCCAGGTCGAGTTTGTCTCACAAAGCCTCCCTGTTAGTGACTGGTTGTTCTACTGTCAAAACACAGTTTGAGGAAGTGGGGGAGACAGTTATTCCAGTTTTTAGGGGTTCCAGTAGCATTCTTTTTCCTTGAAAGTGTTCTGTCCTCGATTTCTCTGTGAAAAGCCCACACAGGCATCATAGGATGCTCTAAGCATCAAGCTTTAACAGCATGAGGAAAAGAAGTGATGTAGATTTTTTTTCTTCTGTTTTCTTGGGTTATTTGGTCAGTGATTGCTCAAAATATTTCAAAAACAAGTGCTGGAAAGCTAGGCAAGGCATTACATGGAATAAAAGGGTATGGAATGAGAGAATTAACATACCTAAACAGCTTTATCCCCACTTCTTTTTGTTTGCCTCTCTGCTGCTTCACATCTTGTCGTGCCCGATTTCTGCCTGGGTGTTACAGGTGTTGGGGTGGTGAAGCTAAACAGGGGCACCCACAGTCGTGCTGTGTTCATCCTGTGGCAGTGGAGCTGTGCTCTCAGAAGTGCTCGTGCCCGCATCCCACAGTGCAGGGATCTGCTTTCTCCCCTGAATTACAACGGGCTGCTCTGGTGAGGTTTTATAGCCATTTTGGACAAGTTGGCAGGATGGCTCTGTTGTGCAGTGTGGATTTTTGTTTTTTTTTTTTCTTTTAACAGTGATCTCCAAAGAGATTATTTTTAATGAATGTGTCCTTTTTTTTTTTTTCTTACTCAGAGCATAAAAATGGCTCAAGGGCTCATATTCTTTCCCTTTCTCCCTTGCTGGCCTCTCCTCAAACAACAAAAGAAAGGCATCTTTCTTTTTTTAACTTGAAGTTAGCAACGATGTCAGTTTTGGGATTTGGCAGTTTTCTCAGTGGGGAGAGTGCGTTTTTGTTTTGTTGGGGTTTTTTTGGTGTTTTATTTAAATTTGGTTTTTTTGGGGGTCGGGTTTTTGTTGTGGAAAGGGGTCTGGGGATCTTGGGTCTCACTGCACTTGTGTGAACTCTTAACACCTTAATTGAAGGGGTGGGGATGCTGAATCACTAACAAAGACCTCCTTTATCCAAAATGTTAATCAATCATTGACGTTAAATAAGTGTGAACAAAACCAAGCAAAAAAAAACCCCACCCTAAACAAGTTTTTGTGTAAGTTCCACTCCCATTCAGCTGCTCATCTTTGGTCAGGTTAACATTCTTTTGGGGAATGTGCTCTTGATTTTTGCGATGTTTGGTAAAAGCTGTGTTGCTGACTTCCCAGTGTGGTTTTCCCAATACAGATTATGAGCTCAGAGATGTAGTAAAGATGTTTTGGGAGAAATCGTGATCTGCTCTGGTGTGAGGGAGTAGCTGGGCTACGACAGTACCTTTGTGACCATCTTTTTGTAGTTGTTTGTTTTTGGGAGGTCTTTTGCTTTCCTCCCTTGTGATAAGTTAATTTGCTTATTGGTCAACACAGTCTTCTAAGCTAGGCAGGGCCTGAATTTTAATGTGAAAGAAAATAAATAGTTTCCCTTCATACAACCAGAAACTTTGTAGATCTCTTCTGTATATTAAGAATACAAAGAGTGTGGACTCTTTTCTTTCTTCCTTGTGTTTCCCCCTTCCTTCCCCCCCCATCTTGCAGTTCACGGCTTGGATTGTTTTCAGTTAGGGTCAGTCCCCAGCCAGAGAAACTACATTTGTCACAAAATATCCAAATATAGAAACTAAGGCAACTATGAACCACAAGGCTAAAATGTTCATATACAACAGCTTTTCTGAGCAGTTTATACGTTTGAGGTGGATGAGAATGGAGTGCCTTTGATCCATATTTGATAGCCATTCAGGCTTGTTGCTCTGTAACATGTTGTCTTCCCATACCTATTTCTAGATGTTTCTTTCTGGATGTTTTTTCCCTCTGAGTTCCTGACGTGCTCTGTCGGCTCTCTGGCCTTACAAACTGTGCCTGTGGCTTAGGAGTTTTGTTGATCTTTTATAAATTCAACAGGAAAAGAAATCAAAACCCAACCAACAACAGCTTTGTCCCGTGGAGCAATTTACACTCAAGCGAGTATTCAAACTAATTTCTGTCTTAAATGTGAGCTGTGCTGCCTCACAGGGCTTCATCTCCTCTGGTCTCTAGAAGTTTACCAGAATTTCTTCAGAGCAATGCAGGCAGCCTTCATAAAATCCTTCTAACTATCTTGCATGGCCTTGGACTTCACAGAAATCCCTGTGCCTCGCTAAGTTCTGTGCTCTGTTTACATAGATATGAAGTCCTTTAACCCAGCAAGTTTTGCTGTGGGCTTGGATTTCCTGCTTACAAGCTCTGCTGGAGTCCCTGTAGTCTTCCTGCTGGCAAAGTCAAGGTGTTAACTCGGGTTTTCAGGGCAATTTGTGAATGGAAGGAGATTTCCTTGCTGAGTTTTTGTCCAAGCACTGCTCTGCCTGTTGGATTTAAAATAGCTTTCCCTCACACACCCTTGCTCTCGTCTGTTAGGTTTGTTGGGTTTTTTTTTGTTGTGTTTTAAAAGTTTAATCATTTTGGAGCTTGATCTCCTTTGTGGTAGGGACTGCACAAGTCCAGAAGAACAGGAACCTTGTTTGTAATTAGGAATTCCTGATAACGTCAAAGAACTTGAACAAACAAACAAAATAAATCTATCTGTTGGGACATTTCTGAAGGGTTGCCTTTAAGACCACCCCGGCTCACAAACACTGGTTAGCAAAAGAAGGTGACATTTTAATGTGCTGAATCCAAGTGAACTGTTCCAGTGTTGACTTTTAATTTATACCTCTGAAGAAGCAGGGCTGTGCTTTGTGGCTGCACCCTTACCTGTAGGGGCCTAGAGTTGGCTTGTGCGGAGCCCTTGGTGCTTGCCCATTTTGACTCTGTGCCACCCTGCTGGTGCTGCTGCTGCTGGAGCAGCTGGATGCTGAAAGGATCCAGGAGTTGATCTGGATTATAAGTAGCCTGGCAAAAAAAAAAAAAGATGATACTTAGCCTGCATCAGTTTGCCAAACTGGTTCACTGTTTGGCCACACAAGTGGTTGTATGGGCACATCAGACAGTGTGTGGTGCAGGGGTGGAAGTAAATGTTGGTAGCAGCAGTTCTTTAAGCTGGCATTGCTGCCAAAAGGAGTGCTCATCTAACTATACCCCAAGAGCCTGCTAAGCTTGCTAAGTGTTTTTTTACACCTGTTTGTTACAGCTTCCCTTGCCTGAGAACAGTTCCCTTCAGCTTACCTTGTTCTTTTTGCCAAAAATCATCCCTGGACATATAGGCAAGGTATCAAAAGAGAAACCTTCTTTAAGGAGCTTTAAGCAGTGCAAAAAGAAGAGTATGATGGTTTAGCTATGGAAAAGTTTCTGCTGTGTCAAGACTGCCTGATGATACAGAACATGCACTGTAAATTGACTATAGACTATTTAGTGTGGTTGCAATTAAGCAGTGAAACTCATGCTGTGAGAATCATCAGGAGCAAGAATTCAACAAGAGTTAAAAAGCATCAGATGTCTGTAGGAATATGAAGAATATTCAATTATCGTAATCAGTGACAGTAGAAATTTTGGAAGAGGTATTAAGCCTGTGGTCTAAACCTTGTTTTTTATTCTGCTCTAACAGATGTGCTTCTATATTGGGAAAGAGAGGGAGGGAATAGCTTGTTGTGCCTGGGTTTGCTGCAGGGTTCTCACACGCTTCTCTGGAAACTTGACTGAGACCAGCGCGTGAGATGCGCCTTTCAGCTGCACAGGCTTCTGGTTGGGTCGTGGTGAGCCATCCTGAAACCTGGGCTGAGCTACCAGAGTGTGGCTACCGAGGGGTGAACTGCTGCTACCCAGCTTTTCACATTTGCTTTGCTCCTCCTCCTGGGGTGGTTCTTACCTGCTCTTCGGCAGGGTCGGATCTGAGCGCTCTGGTTTTGATCCGCTTTGGCAACACTCGTTGAATTTGTTTTAAAGACCGTTATGAAGTTTTTTACTGTGCGTGAAGAATGAATGTTATCTGTTTAGAACAGATAGGCTTGCTCCAAGGTGCCTTTGTTTTCGGACAGACTTAAAAGGAGAGGTGAGATTTTCCTTGTTTGGCCTCTGAGAAGGAGCTTGTGGAATAGGGAAGGGAGATGAACAGTGGACTGTTTTTTAAAGCCTAGGTAGAATCAATGAAATCCTTTTGAAGGAAGGAGTCTGGAAAGCATGCTTTACCAGTGACATGATTTCTTTCAGCAAAGCAGGGCTGAGAGGTGGTAGAGCAACGTCCTCACTGAAAATTGGGTGCTGTAGTCTTGAAAACAGTGCTGGTTTTAAGTGCTCCTTAGTGGTACAGTCTGTGACAAGAAGAGTGCACGATGTACACAATAATTTAGCTGCATGTGGAATTGAGGGAGAGCTTAATGTTTTCTGTATTGAGTTCAGAGCAGTTGTTCAGGCACAGGTAGCCACACAGCTGCCTGTCCAGCTCCTGGCATTTGCAGTTGCCCTGAGCTGGTTGTCATTTTCTCATGTTCTCATGGCTGTTTGGCCTCTTAAGAAGGCAGTGCCACTGTGGCTTTGCTCCTTGGCTTTCTGGTGGGGCTGTCTGCATAGCAGCAGGGCAAGGGAGCTTTGAATCACTGACCCATCTTGTCACTGGATGGTCCCTGAGTGCCTGTTGTTGTCCTCTGTGCCTTCTGAACAAAGGGTGCAGATATCTGTTTTACCTTATCAGGGGGCAGCTGGGGCCCATGGGCTCTTTTATAACCAGGTTAGGTTGGATTTGGTGACGAACTTGAGAACAGAGCCCGTGATTTATCTACTCGACCATGTTACATATGCTCTACAAATTGCTTCAGGTCTGTGAGTCTGCTTGTGTATGCCGTGTCAGGATATCATTGCTACCTCTGCAGTGTGTACAGAGTTGTGAAGACCTGAACAAAAACTCTGGTTGAGTGGTTCACTGATAAAAACACTGGGTAGGAGCAGCACCTGACCATTTTTTCAGGTGGCCCAGAGCTCTGCTTTCTGCATTTTGCTGAACGGACTTCTTCAGGTGTCTTGATGTCTCTGTTCCACTGCCTGTGAAATGGCAGTGTTTTATCTATGTACCAATCTGGATTTGTTTGAGGGTTGATTAGAAGTGTATCTGCAGTATAATACAAAACCAAGCTGTAGCCTGTTGAGGTGAGCAGCCACAGCTTCCACAGCAAGAGCTGTTACAATGGAGAGTTCGGGCAGACCTACGTATGGAGAAACTCTTCTCAGAACTTCTTCTAGTGGAATGGGAGTTTTCCACCACATTTTATGTGTATGTGTGAGAAAGGAGTGAAGAAAACTTCAGGCCAAAATGACTTGACAGCTTGTTAGCAAGAAAACGCTTTCTTCTGTCTCTTGAAAAAAAAATCAATATACATATACATATATAAATATATATATATATATATAAATTTTAACCTTCTCGTGGTTGGGGATAGAAGGTTGAAACTGTCAGGCAGATAGCCACCACCCAGCAGAAATGCTCCTGAATGCTCTGGTGGAAGCTAGCTTTGATTTGACAGTTCTGAGTCTTTGGAAGCAGCTCTCTGTTTATGCAGCACAGTAAATACTTTGAAGTGCGTTAGGCTTTGCTGTACATGCGTGGCTAACTAGAAGAATATTAAATGCCTACATCTTGTGTGGAGTGAGGGAGGATCCCGCAGCAATTGGAATTGCATGCTCCTCGTGCTTTTATAAGATCGTGTCAAAGCAGTAGATTTGATAATAGACCTGATTATACAATTGCTTAATTTCTTGTCAAAATAACATTTTTTTATTTTTTTTTTTCCACATGAGATCTTTGAGGTGACCTCGTGTTATTTATCAAATGTCAGTTTTTCATCCCGGCAGCTTTGATATAATCATGTAGCGTCGTGGAGTAGTGTGTACATGCAGTCTTTGCTTGCTGGAGTTCTTTGAAGTGCCTCACTCCTCAGAAGAGTCATTGCTGTGTGGAAGATCCTGCATTTAACGACAAGGAAACCAGTGTGGAAGCGCTGCACTGTGGGGCTAAAGGTTGTGCTACATCTCTTGTGCCTAATGTGGGCCTGAAAGCAAAGAAGTGAGAGGTTCACTGCACCCCCTGACACTCATCTTACCCAGCAGTAAGCTGCAGGGGATATAGTAACCCTCCAGCTCTGTCCCTGTGGGAATGGCAGCTTTGTGGTGTGCTGAGCTCCCCAGGTGCTGGAGAAGAGCAGAAGGATGGCTGGTGGTGACAGTCCTGAAGGAAAAACTGGTCAGACAGGCAGTGCTGGAAGGTAGTGATACTCAGGGGAGCCTTGAAAAACTGCTCGTTTGGGATGAGAGAGACCACATGCCTGTGAAGGTTAAAAGGGAGGAAGGTGTGTGGGTCACCCCCAGCGATTCGGGTGGGCACAGTGTCCCCTTGCAGCATACCAGGGAATTACTGCTCGCTACATGTAGCACTGGGTTTTCCTCAGAGCAGCTCTGTCCTGTGCTGACCCATCCCAGCCTCACTTAGCTCATGAAAACTGACAAGATTGCAGCCCAGGGAGTTCTGCCTGAGGATTGCTTCTTATCTTTCATTCTGGAAGCCCGTTGAAGTGATGCTGAAAGGAAAGGGAAAAGCCCTTTTTTTTTTTCCCCAGGCTGAACTGATAGGTGACTTGTTTCTCCCAAGCCTTCTGCCTAGGCGGTGTGACGTTACTACTTGTTGAAGAACAAACTGGTGTCTCCTCGGTCCTGTCTTCCCATCCATTATTTCAGCATATTTTCCCCCTGCTCCCTTCCCACAGATTAGTTTCTAGATAATGGGCTGCTGGCAAGCTTGATGCAGGTGTCTTTTACCCATGGTTGTTCATGCAGATGTCCCTATTTAAATTTTTTAAAAAACAAACCCAGAGAAGTAAGGGGGAGAAGACTGCCTCTGCCTCTGAACACGTTGCCTAACTCCTGAAAAGTAGAAGAAACTTTTGACAGAAACCAAAGCAACGAAACAGCCTGTGGAAAGCTCCTATCATTGTCCACTGGACTCCTGCATGCAATGCTGACTGATGCTGGGGCTGTTAACTGTGGGAAGCCTGCCATATATTAGGGAAATACTGTTAAAACATTTCTTGAAAAATCCCTTATTGCTCGAGCTGCTGATCCTTACGGGTGTCGACAACAGTAGGAACGGCAGGGCAGGCGGGCTGCTGCTCGGGCAAGTGACACCCCACGTAAGGTGCTTAAAACTCCAGCTGTAAAGTACATAGGCTGCTCCCAGCATTGCTAACAGAGGTGGAGCTGAGCTGGTGCTGGCAGCTGTGCAGGGCTGCTGGGCTGAGGTCGGTGTGACGCTGTGGGGTGCGCGGCGGCGTCCCCAGCGCCCTGGCAGCATTCTGGCTGACCTGCAAATGCCACTGCTGCTGGAGAGGCTGGCACGGCATGGACCCCGTACCCAAGCAGATAGTTGTAGCTCAGGCTTTGAGATTTTTTTAGTTTTTTTAGGTTTTTTTTTTTTGTTGTTTTTTTTTTTTAGGGATTTTTCTTCTTGGCGTTTTCCCCCAGACTGATTTCTTGGAACTGTGTCAGAATCTGCCAGGAGCTTGTTTGAGTCCCAGGTGGACCAAGTAGTTGGAGTGTTGTCTACATAATAGCAGCTGGGAAATTAAAAGGCTCTTCGTGTCTGTCTCTGTGCACCTTGGATCTGCTCACCAGCATCCATAAGTGTCTGTCTCCTCCATTACTTTGGGGAAGGAGTCATACAGAGTCAGAAGCTGTCTAGGACAGTCATTTGTCCCCACTGGATTAATAATGCACTGAAGTGTTGTTTGATGCACTGAAAGAAGGTTTAATGGGCAAGTAGTTGTCTGTTTGACAAAAAGTGTTAGTGCTACTCACAGCTCTCAAAAGTGGTGCTTATGAGAGTGGTGGGTAATGTGTTTGTTGCAAAAGACTATTTTAGGATGATTTTTTTTTTAAAGTACCTAAAAATACTAATTACTTATATAGTAACACTAATTACTTACGCTTTGTGGCTACTGTTGGTTATCCATGTGCTTGCCAGCAGGAGGAAGGAAGTGAATAGTTGCTGGAGATGCCATTTTCTGAGAGAAAAGTCATAAAACACTTAGTGCCCTGAGCCTTTGGGTTTGTATTGTGCTTTGCCAGTGATTGTTTTGACTTTACATTTTAAGGATGGAGACCAAAAGGTTGAGTTTTCTGTGGCCATTGCTGTTCTGGATGGACTTTAGGACGGATTGATTCTCTGGGAGATGTCCATGTGTGTGGTGATAGGAGTTGGGGGGGAATTATGGGAGGAAGGGTATCTGTACTGCCTGACTTGAGATATGGGCAGGCACAGGTAGGCTCAGCAGAGTATGAACACACAAACTTCATTTGCACAGGGGTGATTAAATATATTCTTACAGTTTCTGTGAGGCTTATTCCTGTGGTCCTGAATTCTTGCATTAAGTTGAGGAAGTCAGAGGAACTCCTCTCCCATGTAATGGCATAGAATCTTGCTCTTTCCACGGCAGTGTGCTCGTAGGTCTTCAAGGTGCTAATTTTAAGTGAGCTTGTCTTTGCTCAGCCCCTTTCTCTGTGCTTCAGGGCTGGAGGTAGCTGTAGGCAGTAACCTACTCATTTGGAGTTTAACAGAGAATTGTGTACTCACCATGTGTAGAGGAGAAGGTGTTTTCTCTGTGGAGGTTGCATAGTCCCCACATTCATGTAGCAAAACAACTTTAGGTGACAAGTTATTGATTATTGTGTTGCTTGAGAGTAATTTCCAGTGCAAGACTGTGAGCAGAGAGGTAATACTGTGCAGACTTTGGGTTAGCAGTGATTTCTCTGATGTGGGTAAGTGGAATATTTTGTGGAACTGAAGGCTTTGTGTATGCCATAACTTTTTATTGGCAAGACGTAAACATGGGAAAGTCTATGCTGCTTCAGAATAAGTTAGGACCATCTAGAAATTGGTGACTGGCTGTGAGTTGCTGTCTACTCAGCTTAGGTGGACAAGTTATCTCTTGATGTTGAGAAAATAATTTATAAATAAGGGGGATTTGTGGCTTACTAGGGAATGATGGAACATGGCATTTTTCACAAATCATCAGCTGTTTTGGGTGGGATGCGGTCCGTGTGCCATATGAGGTGACCCTGGTGCAAGTGGCCCCTGCCTTTCTGGTAGAAGGTGCACGTGGAGCATGTCAGCTGAGAGTCTGATGTGTGATAATTTGTGTAGTTTGGTTGAGGGCTGAGGTCTGCAAACCCTGCAGTGGAAAGAGCCAGGACAGTGTAGGTAGTCAGGGCATCTGCTGATGGCAGAGCAGAGTTGTGTGGTGTTCAGGTGGTGTGTGAATTTATGTGCACATGTGACACTGTGTCTTTAGCCCCAGCAGTTCTTTAGGTACCCCGTGTATTTTCTGCCCTTGTTTAGGAAAAAGGGCAGAGGAACCTGCCATCCAGGAGATGGATGCAAGTGTATTTTAACAAGCACAGGTCTATCCATGCCTGTGACATCAGTCACTGCTGCCTCCTTTGTGCCAGAGAGCATGTGGCCACCTGGCTGGAAGAAACATGAAAGTTGTCTCCTGAAAATTATTCCTGTCTTATCTGGAACCAGTTTTCAGCTGGATCACAAGTGCTGGCAGTGGAAGGGATACAGTTGGGTTGGCTTGGGCTGGTGGGAGTTGCTTTCCTGGGTCCAGCAGGGCAGTTGGTGTACAGGAGGTTAAGGCTGCGTTTTTGACAGACCTGTTTGAACACTGGTGGGTCCAATCCTAGTTGTGTTACAGGCTTTATGCATTCCTGGGAAAGGATGAGGAGGGCAGCTTTTGCTAAGAGGTAGAGGCAGATTTAAAGGTGTATTTAATAGCCCTTGGTAGGGAGCCATATCTAGAAATTGGGGCTGGTTCAAGGGATTGAAGAGTGTCCTGTGTCCCTCCATCCTCCAATGCCATGGGGAGATGCGTGGGGTGTAGAATACTCATGTCAATTTATCTGTTTGCTTTTACATGATCTTAAGGAAGTCTGACAGCTCAATAAAAGCGTTAAATAACCCTTCCTGAGTCCTCTTGTTTCCCAGTTGCTCTCCTTATCAATGAGGTGTGTAATCAAGTACTTCATTAAACAGCAGCTTATTAAAAAGTAATGTGCAGTTCAGCTGCAAGTGTGTAAAATAATCAAATGCTTAACAAAACTGGTAAGTGCAGCACGTGATTGTAACCAGTGGTGGCTCTTGGGTGTAGGGGATTCACCTTTTGCCAGTGCAGCTGTTCTCCCTGTTATGTGGTTGAATGAGGGTCGGAGAAATAGGATGTGCCCTTCCCAGTAAAATTGTGCTGAAGGAGCGTGTTGGCTGATTCACTGCCTAACCCCACCTCTCAGGTCACACAGGGAATCCACTGGTGGATGCTCATGCAGAGGTTTGCTTCCTGGTGGCTGTCAGGATGAGTGGTGGCTCAAATGCCTCCTGCTGCTGCTGGTTTTGGGCCCTCCTAAAGCTGCTGCTCTTCCCAGAGCAGTCTCTTACTCCACTCTCTCTCCTTCCTTGCCCATTCCACTGTCACAGATACAATTCAGGGTGCAGGCTCAGCTTGCATTCAAAGTTGTCTTTTGTTTTCTGTAGCAGCAGGTCTCTAGCCTTTTTTCTTCTTCCATGCTGATTTTTGGCTCTCACCAGCCTCAGTCCAGCACAGACTGACAGTCTCAGAAAGGCCACGGGGAAAATAGCAGCGTGCTCTTTCTTGTACACAGAGAAAGGTTTCTTGCCTTTAATGCTTCATGTCACAGTAAGGCCACAAGTCTGATACTTTTATCTACTTGGTATGCCTTTATTTCATCTCTCCACATTCTCCTTCTCAAAGAGGGGGAGAAAAGAGTGAAGTGAATCAGTGATGTCTGCAGCTGTTCCTGCTGGAGCAGCCATAATGCTGTACACCTCCGGGTACTTGACCACTTATCACCGCCAAGCTTCTGCAGTTTTAAAGGCCTAAAGTAGGAATGAGCTAGTTTTGATGGTTTTTTTTTTTCACCTTCTGTTTGCAGTGCAGTAGTATGGTGGCTGGTTTGTAGAAGTACAGGGGTGGTTCACGAATACTTAACCAAGGGGTAAACCAAGATGTGCATTTGCATCTTGTTGGTTACTCTGTGGTAGCTGCTCCTGTGTGTCCTCTCGGCCTTGTGCTCTCCAAATCACTGTGGAGAGCAAGCTGTCTTGTGCTGGCTGGGGACTGAGACCATGCAGGTGAGCAGCAGAGATGGGACACTAGGGGATGGAATTACATTGCAGGAACTGGGTAGCCTAAAAGATGGATGGTGTCCCTCTTCCAGGCCTGATCTGTGATCTGTAATGCAGTTTTTTGCCAAGTTGGGATTGAGTGTTTCAAGCAGTGGAGCTCTGGCCGTTGTTTGTGGTAGATTCTGCCCATCCTGCTGTGTGCTGGTGTTTTCCTCTTCAAGGGAAAAAGTGATTTCTGCTTTGGTAGAGGTGTGTCAGTATTGGCACTGGCATGGCTTAGCCTGTATTGTTTCACTGGGTGGGGTGGGGGAAAGGGGAGAGGAGATATTACTGGGTAATTGGATTCAGGGATGATTGTGCTGCTGTGGTAGGTTTTACTGGATGAAGCAGCTTGTTGCGATAGGTGTTTGTTTCAGCTCCTGTCTGCAGGTGTGACTTGGCCAGATAAGGATGGTCTATCACGCTGATGATTTCATTGTTTGATTTGGCTGGACTGGGTGGAGAGTGTAGCTGCATTGTTTGGGCCCAGCTTTGTAGTTTGGTTTTGTCAAGTGGATTACATGGCAGTGCATTGCTACATTATTAAGGTGAAGCTGCAGCAGATAATAGTTGGAGAATGTTGGAGGGAAGAGAATATGCACAAGGGTTTCACAACGCGTAACTAATTGAGCCTCCAGCTCCTGCGTTTCTGTTGGGAGATCTGGTCAGCAGAATGCACTGGGATTACACAGAAAACCTCGGGTGGTGATTTCAGTTTGCAGTCATACTTTAACTGCAGGGCTGTCCGTGCTGTGTAAATAGCTGAGAGTGCTCTGAGAGACCATGCTGGCCCTGACAGTGTGTGTGTGTGTTGTCTGGATTCATACTGTTCTTGCAGCCTCTACAGTTTTCACAGTGGGTGAGGGAGAAGCTGACTCTTTTTTTACTGACTTCAGTTTTACCATTGAGCTGTTCCTCAAAGTCTGTGTTCCCTTGTACTACCAAACTTTCAGGCACTTAAATTTACTTTAACATGTGAGTGAGCATTAATTGATGCAGGGCTGTCTGTATTACTGAAAATGTGGCTGATGGGTTCTTAGGCCATGGACTCTTTTGACCTTATAGGAAATAACCATAGTACAAGGTGGGGTTGGCCCCTCTATCTTGAGCAGACTTGCAGTATGCCTTACTTGGGAAGGGTTGCCATTGGATTCCCTTCTCCCTGTAGTGTGTACAATGATGTAAAGTAGGAGCTGTCAGAACAGTAGGTAGTGCCTCCTCCTCCTAAAACCTGCCCGGTTTTCCCCTAGATGTGACTGCCTGGCTCTGCCTGATGCTTGATGTTTTTATTTAAACATGTTGGGCTCTGGAGGAGGTTGTATATGCGAAGCACAGGGGTTTGGCAGGAGTTGCTGAGCACACAGTGAGGGGAAGGCGAGCCTTTGAAGAGAGGTGGGTGCAGAGAAGGGAAGGTGACACGTCCAGGCTTTGTGTCAGCTTCTCTAAGCACAGATGAGCTCATGGGAATTGAGCTGGCTGAAATGTGGGAGTGCTAAAGCAGGTCTGACCTATTTCTCCTCCATGGGCAGCTTTTCAGATTCTTCCAGTCTGATGGTGGCTTTTTGGGGTGCTGACAAACCTTACCAGTCAGAGCAGAGGCTTCCCCTTGTCGGTGGTTCAGAGCAAGCTTTGATTCCTCTGCTTCTGTGTCTGGGTGCGTGGAAGGGGTGCACAGCTTGGCTTTGGCTGTGTGTTCTCGTTGGTGAAACTTTTCCTCTCTCTTCTGTTCCAGGTGATCGTTTCTTGTGAGACAAGTGGTTTGCAACTCATGGCCTCCACGATGAGTACTGCCGTGTCGTGACACCAGGGGTCTTGGTAAGCTACTTGTTGGAAAGGAGGGGACCTGTCCCATCTCCACCAGTGCAGATCCATCTCTTTTTTTTTTTTGTCTCTGCAGCTGAGATTTGAAGTCATTTTAAGCCATCCAAATTGTAGGCTGCAGCCGAGAGGGGTGAGGCTACGTTTTCACCTGTTCTCACCTCCTCCTTTGAGCTTGCAATGGCACTGATGTGGTTGCATGATCAACCAGATCAGGGGGCGAATCCAGCTGAATAGGGATTTCTGTTGTTTCCCTTGGGTTAGTTCCCATTCACATCTTTCCCTGATGTGGTCAGGAGAGAGGTGGTGAGAACGAGTAGCCAATTGAACCATCCCTTTTCCCTGCAGCCATTGCCTGGCATACCTTACAGCACTGCCAAAAATACAGCCTTGGATGTAGCTTGCCAAAACATCTTGAGGAGTGGTTTGACCATTCGCTGTCAGTGACCTTAATTTCAGAGCAATGATAAAGGCTTTGCTATGGCAGGCAGACTCCAGCTGCAAAAATACATTTCTCTAGAGCTTTTCCATTATTGAACCCTGGATTCCCAGACATACATATGTTAGAAGTGCATTGAGGAAAATCATGAGGCATTCCACTTCACATTATAAAAGATGCTACGTTCCCAGTGTGCAGAAATAAGAAGCTGGGGAAGTTGAGCTGCTGTTGTTCCACCAATGAATATATTTGATGTGTCCTTTATAGCTCTCTCTGGTAAGAAGAAATTTAAACTGAGATTGGAAAATACAGTTCCCTTGCAGAGCGCATCAGTTCTAATAGATGGAAGATATGTGTATACAGAATAAAAAAGTAGGGTTAAAAAAATGGAAGGTTTCCCCCCCGCCCCCCTCCGCCCCGGGTGAAGTACTTGAAAGTTTGTTGATGTCAGAAATACCATGTAGCCAGTGTGATCCTGATTCTTCAGTTCGTTTTTTCTCATTGCACTGTGCAAGGCTGGGAGTCTGAGGCTATTCTCATCTTGTAATAAAAGGTAACATAATGCATAAATATCCTAATGGAAAAGCAGAGGATGAAACTACTAGAATACTTAAGTTCATCATGCAGGCATCTGTGTCCTCCTATAAACATCAAGCTCTGCTCCCTTTAATGCTGTTATGCCTTTTTTCTTTTTTTTTTTTTCCCTCTTTTTGTTTTTATCCTGGAATTCACTGTATTTTCAGTCACACCTTCACCTCAAGTGAGGACCCTGCAGTATCACCGAGTTCCACTGACTTTTACAGACGTATCAATCTCTTGAAAAGCCGAGTTGGATGCTGTTGATGTTTCACTTTTGTTGTCAAAACAGACGTAGGAGCCAAAATTTGCATGCAAAGATGATACAATTTAGATATGTGTGAAGAGGTTCTCTCTCATCTTCAGTGTGTCTGTATAGCACCAGCTCCAATTGTAGCATGATAGCAATAACAATAGTGATAGGATAAAGCCAACATTGCTCTCAAAATCAGTGGGATAACCAGCTAATAGTCCTGGAGAAGGATGTGGATCCTTTGGATTGTGTGGCTCAGACTGGAGTTCATCTGATTATGCCTAGTAGGAGGTGTTTAAAATGAGATATTTATTGCAGAAACATTCCCTGTATTAATAGGTTTGTGCAGCACAGTGGAGGTGAGAATGGGGAGCAGGGTGACTTCTCTGGCTCATGAGGGAGGCATGTGGTGGAGAGGAGAATTTTTGGAGATGATGCAGAGCTTTGTGGAACTGCTGCAGTTTGGATCACTATCATGTTAAAGTACAGCAGTGTAAAGTCACTAAAATGTATAATGGCACAGCCTCAGAACTATATAAATTTGGGGAACTGGAAAACCATGGTGCTCACTACTACAAGTTGCTGATAAATCTCCTTGGCCAGAGGTGGTCAGAGAGTGTTTCTTAATCTTCTGGTGTCAGCACATAAACAAGGCAATTTTTGTTTCTGAAATGCAATTTTGAACAGTGATTTCTTCATAAAATTCAAGACGTTCCCATTCTGGTAAGATTTATTTTGTTTCATTTGATATACACAGGAAGAAACTACTTCTTTGGTGCTGAGAAGGAATATCGGGAATATTTACATTTGAATAATATTTAACTAGCAATGCTTAATACATTAACAATAAATCTTGGTTAGATTCTGAATTAAGTGGATTTGCATCTGAGTAGGTGAGATGAACAGGAGAGATTTTGTTGAAACATAAACAAGACAGAAATTTGTTCCAAAATAATTTAGCCCAAAGCACGTCAACAGTGATGTTCAATAGTTTACTCCTCCAGAAACAGTTTTAGGTGCCTTGTTGCCCATGTCATGCATATTGTCTCTTAAAAAGAAGCTGACAAAAGTTTCTTTTTGGGGGGGGGGGGTTGTTTTTTTGTTTTATTTTTTAAAAACCTCAGTGGTCTGTAGAGTGTTGCCGAGCAAATTTAGATGGGTACTTCTCTGGTGCTTTTTGGCCTTTCTAAGTAGATATGATGAGTGACTAACCCTTGGTGTTTTCAGACTAATCACACATTAGCTTACAGGTGGCCAGGAAGGTGTTTTATTTTATTTTTCTCCCTTTTTGTAACCTTTAGCACACATCCTTGAGCATATGTCTTGGTATATTGGACCGAGGAGACAAAAGATTTAAGGAGAGTTTATGTTCTTAAGAAATATCATGTTACAGCCATTCAAAGGGGAATTCTGGATAGCTAACTCGTGTTGGGGATTTGCAGTTTTGACTTTCTACTGACTTGCTATGAAGTGTCTTTAAGCTGAGCACAGATGTGGAATCAAAGTGTTCAGATTCAGGGTGCTTCCCTGTTTTGTTGACTCCAGAATGATTGGCTTTGGACGAAGGGAAGGTGGCCTCAGTGCCTGTGAACTGAATGGCCAGCCAGGGCTGCCTCTGGTCTGGAAATACCCATCCACCTGAAAGCTCTTCTCCTGTGTCTTCTCGGGAGTGGGGGAAGAATTGCCGTGCCCTGCCTCGCACCAGCCACGTCTGCTCGGGAAGTGCCTCACTGGTTTTCTGTTCTCTTCTCCTGGGCTGGTTTGCAGGGTGCCCTGGAGATGCGAGACTTCCCCTGGGCGGCAGGAGGCACGCGTCTAGAGAATGCTGGAGCTGCAGGAGGGAAGTGCCCAGTGCAAAACCAGCGAGGAGCCAAGAGAAAAAAGGCAAGCAGACAGCCAGCACTGAGAGGAGCGGGTGGCAGGAAGCGCTTCGACGCTGCCTCTGGCGGCACGATCCCCAGGGGAACTTGACGAGAGCCCATCTGCGTGCGTGTGAGACTGTGAGCTCAGGATTTCTGTCAATGCATTCCAGTAACCCCAAAGTGAGGAACTCCCCGTCAGGCAACACACAGAGGTAAGGGGAAGAGCCTGCCCTCAGCTGCCCCGGGTTGGTGCGTGTTGCCGTCCCTGCTGTGCTGCTGGCTTGGCTCCCCTGGCCCTCCTTCGTGCTCCCCTCAGACCTGCCGAGTGCCTGAGCAGTGGCTGCACAGTGCTGATGGGTCTCCATGTTTGCAAGGCTCAGGATGAGCTGAAAGCTGTGGATTTTCCGTTCCATGTGCCCTCCTCCCTTCCCATCAGGTGCCTGAACAGGCTGTTGGAGAGTAAACATGCTTTTTCTGTCTTGGATTTTTCTCCCCCCCTTCCTCCTCTTCTAATTATCTGTTTCCCGAGGGGTAGTTGGGCAGCAGAAGGTCTCTCTGCCTGTATTTTCACACAAAATGCTTCCTCTGTATTATTGGCCTGAGCAGCCTGGAGAACTGATCTGCTGAGCACTGGGATCCTCTGCATCAGTCACCTGCCAGTGCAGCAGGTCAGCATCTCTCCTCCACTAATCTGGAAGGGGAAGAATATGGAAGCAAAGCGGCGCCCAGGGACTTAGAATGGTCTGATTGACAGCATTCTTGGGTTTGATTATTTACTCCTAGAGGTCATCCAGAACTTAGGAGTATTTCAGAGGGAATGCTTCTGAGTCAGATGTCTTTCCTGAGGAGGAAACAGCTTGTGTGAGTCCCACAGTGAGGATGCTAGCAAGCACTGCCTGTTGGAAGTGATAGTGATGATGGGAAAACACAATGCAGAAGATCCAATTGCAATGGAGCAAGTGGAGGGTGAGGAGAAAGGGGTGGCTAATATGTCTGGTAAAACCCAGGGGAGCAAAATATTTTTAGGATGCAATTTGCTGGATGGAAGAAGAAAGGAAAGACTCTGAATCTGCTTTGGCAAATTAAGGAAGCTCCATCTGCCCCATTTTGCAGGAGTGTGCTTGGAGATGGTATCCTTCCTTCTCTTTCCTTATTCAGAGGCAGGTTGTAGCTGGTTTAATTGTTTTCACGGTCAGAGGTTTGTGTTTTCCTGGCAGCTCGCCCCGGTGTATGACGAATGCTGCAGCAATGCTGGGTTTTCCTTGTGCTCCCTGTAGAACTGGATAGGGAGGTGAGAGGGAGGGGGGTGGGGGTCTTCTCTGGTCGGAGCTGTAGTTGGGGTCCAGGAGAGTGGTGAGGTGAACTTTATTGTGCCTTGTTTGTTTACTCTGAGCTGGTCTTGGTGTGAGGCGCTCCTCTGTGCACATAGAAACCGTTGTCTTTATTGACAGAAGCTCCAGAGGTGGGTCCTCATGTGACAGCAGTTTCTGGGATCTGGCAGGTCTGTGGTTTGCCCTGGTGCCTTCTTGAGCAATGAGATCCCATCTTGGATAATAACCCTTTCAGGGCATGTTCGGAAAAGCACCCTCATGACTCTAAGCTTACAGGCATTTTTTATGTGTCAGCAAATTGTCTTAGCTTGCAAGGTGACAGTGGTTGTTTCTGCTTCACTCTAATCTGTTCCTACAGGGCTGAATGAATCAATGGTGTGATTTGTCACTTTTTTTGTCTTTTTTTTTTTTTTTTTCTCCTCTGTCCCCTGTAGCCCCAAATCAAAGCAGGAGGTGATGGTCCGCCCCCCTACAGTGATGTCCCCGTCTGGCAACCCTCAGCTGGATTCCAAATTTTCCAACCAAGGCAAACAAGGGGGCTCCACCAGCCAATCCCAGCCCTCTCCCTGTGACCCCAAAAGTGGAGGTCACACCCCCAAAGTGCTCCCTGGCCCAGGTGGGAGCATGGGGCTGAAGAATGGGGCTGGAAACGGTGCCAAGGGGAAGGGGAAGAGAGAGAGGAGCATTTCAGCAGACTCCTTTGAACAGAGGGAAGCTGGGACTCCTAATGATGACCCTGAAATCAAAGGTATGCTTGCTAGGATTTGTGTGCAGACAATTAGTCTGGATTCTCTGTGAGATGGGAGAATTGCTATGCAAATGTTATTTGTCTGGGATTCTGTAAGTTCCCTCCAACGAAGTCTAAAGGTCTGGAGAGCAGGGGAAGAGGAAAGGTTGTCATAGCTGGCATTGGCAAATGTCTTGTTCCTGCTCAGTTAGAGAGCAGGCCTGACTCTGGTGGGAAAGTTCCTTTGTAACTCTGAAACTCCCCCAGAGGATTTGAAAGTACAAATGCAACCTGTTGGTTTCCTTCTGGCCTTTGGCCTTTCAGGAACTGCTCTGTTGTAACAGGTTTTGAACAATATGCAAGTCTGTTTTGTCAACACAGATACGTAACCTGTAGTACCCTGGCTGGTAACACAAGCCAGAGAGTTGAGATTTCTGTGTTCTGTTCCTGGCTCCAGCGTTGCCTCTGTGAGGCAGTGCAAAACCACACTAGATGTGCAGTGGTCTGTCTTTCCTTTGTTGTCCATCTGCTGGGTCACCTGGCTAAGGTGGCTGAAGGGGGAAAAAAAAAAAGAAGTGAAATTTTACAAGCATTCTCCTTGGAAGCAGACATATTTATATTTGTTCATTTTAGTGTGTGATTTTCCTGCTTTTCTGTGTGGCCATGGGAGAATTCAAAGGGATCAGCTCTGGGAACTGCCACAGGCCTTGAAAAGGGACAAGATGAGCTTTCTCCCAGTGGTGCCTGAAGGGCAGCGTGGCATTGGAGGAAAGATGCATGGTGCAATAGGAGAATTGCCTTTAGTGTTGCTCGAGGAAGAAGCAGGAAATTTCAGAGGAGAAAAACCTCTGATCAGTTTCCAGAAATGGTTTCCAAAATGCTCCCAAGGTAGTAATTCCTTTCTTTTCCTCTTTCTCCCCTTCCAGACTGCAATTCTGCTGATCATGTGAAGTCCCAGGAGTCTCAGCACACACCACACTCCATGACTCCTTCAAATGCTTCAGCCCCAAGGTCTTCCACACCTTCCCATGGTCTGACTGCCACTTTGGAGCCAGCAAGTGGGCAGAAGACTCCATCCAAAGTGGTTTACGTCTTTTCTACTGAGATGGCCAACAAGTAAGTAGGTAGATGCTTGATTGTCTTCAGGGAGCAGGAGTTCTCTTTGTGCTCACTTTTTAAGAGACTGTCAAGGGCACTTTCTGCATCAAGTAGCAAAAACTCATTACTTGTTTTGGGATTGTTGGAGGGGCTGTAGAGGAGAATGTCCCTACTTTTTTTTCCCTCTGAGAAATGATTGCTTGTTCCTCTGAGGAATGGAGATTTTTATTTGTTTCTTGCCAATGGTGGTAGATGTTGTTTTGCAATCTGTGCAGGATGGGCTAAAGCGAGACATGAACCCTGAATGCTGATGAGTTCGTAGATGTGAGCATTTTCCTGCTGCTACTCATCTAGAGTGAAATATGTGTGGTTGAGTCTTTCTGCCTTTGTGCCAGCTGAAAGGAGGGGAGGGAGGCCAGTTGAAAAAAATTGATTCTTAGCTTCAACTGGATATGTGCATCTGCCTGTCTGTCTTTGCAGGGCTGCAGAAGCTGTGCTGAAGGGACAGGTGGAAACCATTGTGTCCTTTCATATCCAGAACATCTCAAACAGCAAGGCGGAACGAAACACTGTACCCTTGGTAGGGAATTACCTGCGTGTGGGTGGGAAGGGGAAATGGTCAGTGTGCCTGTGTGTGATTCAGAGTGATGGATGGTTATTTGCACTCTGAAATAAGTTTCAGGAAGACAGTTTTTGTTCAGACCTTCCTCACACAAGTGTCTCGGGTCATCCAAAGAAGAGTTTGAGTCTTGCAGTATTCGGGCAGTGTGTTTCCAGCCCGTTGCTCGTGCAGAGCTAGCACAGAAGAAAGGGGTTCCTGCAGTAAAGCCTTGAGCAAAACAGGTGCTGTTCTGTAATGGCTGCATGAAGGACACCCTTGCCTGCAAAGTTTGGGCTGGTGGGGTTGAGACTGGGCGTTTTGTTTGCACTGCTGCTTGTGTGCCAGGGCTGTAGGAAGAACAGGTGACAACGTGTGGCTTTCTCTTGCAGAACCCCCAGATCACTGCACTTCGGACTGAACCCAAGCCCCTGCCGCAGCCCCAGCCCCCCGCTGCCCAGGACCAGAACCCTCCCCAGAACGCCAAAATGCAGCCGACCCCACCCGTGTCAGCGCCGGTGTCCAAATCCACTGGCCCCCCATGTCCCATAGATCAGGACAGTCCCAGCGTGGAGAGCAAAGTGATGTCCGTGGGCAGCCCTGCCAACTCTACCCCGTTGCAGACGGAAGGATTTGGGCAGAGTTCGACCCCCAATAACCGAGCGGTTAGCCCGGTTTCCCAAGGTAGCAATAGCTCAGCTGCAGACCCCAAAGGTCCTCCCCAGCAGGTGTCTGGTGGGGACCCATCCAGTTTGGGCGAGAATCCAGATGGACTGTCACAGGAGCAGCTGGAGCACCGAGAGCGCTCTCTGCAGACCCTGCGAGACATACAGCGCATGCTCTTCCCTGATGAGAAGGAGTTTGCTGGAGGGCAGAGTGGGGGGCCTCCCCCAAACGCTGGGGTGCTGGATGGTCCCCAAAAGAAACCTGAAGGGCCGATACAGGCTATGATGGCTCAATCCCAAAGTTTAGGCAAAGGGTCAGGGTCTCGGACAGATGGAGGGGCTCCGTTTGGCCCTCAAGGACACAGGGACATGCCTTTTTCCCCAGATGAAATGGGGCCACCACCAATGAACTCCCAGTCAGGACCCATAGGCCCAGACCACCTGGACCATATGACTCCTGAGCAGGTGGCCTGGCTCAAGCTGCAACAGGAGTTCTACGAGGAGAAGAGGAGAAAGCAAGAGCAGGTGGTTGTGCAGCAGTGTTCCCTGCAGGACATGATGGTCCACCAGCACGGGCCTCGTGGGGTGGTCCGAGGTCCTCCTCCTCCCTACCAGATGACCCCTGGTGAGGGCTGGGGACCTGGGGGCCCAGAGCCCTTCCCTGAAGGCATGAACATGTCACACTCTCTGCCCCCCAGGGGCATGGCCCCTCACCCCAACGTGCCCGGGAGCCAGATGCGCCTGCCTGGTTTTGCAGGAATGATGAACCCTGAGATGGAGGGCCCCAGTGTCCCGAATCCCGCCTCACGGCCTGGGCTTTCGGGAGTTAGTTGGCCAGATGATGTGCCAAAAATCCCAGACGGCCGAAACTTCCCTCCTGGCCAGGGTGTCTTCAGTGGCCCTGGCCGAGGGGAGCGGTTTCCCAATCCACAGGGCCTGCCCGAAGAGCTCTACCAGCAGCAGCTGGCTGAGAAACAGATGGGCCTTCCTCCCGGTCTGAACATGGAAGGCATCAGGCCCGGCATGGAGATAAACAGAATGATGCCCTCCCAGAGACACATGGAGCCTGGGAACAACCCCATCTTCCCTCGCATGCCGGTAGAAGGACCGATGAGCCCTTCCAGGGGGGACTTCCCAAAAGGAATACCCCCACAAATGGCTTCTAGCAGGGAGCTGGAGTTTGGGATGGGCCCTGGCAGCATGAAGGGGGACATGGGCATGAATGTCAGCATGGGCTCCAACCCACCCCTGGTCCCTCAGAAGCTGAGGGAGGCAGGAGTCGGGCCGGAAGAGATGATGAAGCTGCGCCCTGGCGTCTCGGAGATGCTCTCCTCTCAGCAGAAAATGGTGCCGCTGCCGTTCGGGGAGCACCCGCAGCAGGAGTATGGCATGGGTCCCAGGCCTTTCCTCCCCATGTCTCAGGGCCCAGGAGTCGGTCTCCGGAATCTCAGAGAACAGATCGGGCCTGACCAAAGGACTAACAACCGGCTCAGCCACATGCCGCCACTACCTCTCAACCCCACCAGTAACCCCAATAGCCTCAACACTGCTCCCCCCGCGCAGCGCAGCCTCGGCCGCAAGCCCTTGGATATCTCCGCAGCTGGTCAGGTGCATTCGCCAGGAATCAACCCCCTGAAGTCCCCCACGATGCGCCAGGTCCAGTCTCCCATGATGGGGTCTCCCTCGGGGAACCTCAAGTCCCCCCAGACGCCCTCCCAGCTGGCAGGAATGCTCGCGGGCCCCACTGCCGCAGCCGCTGCTGCCTCCATTAAGTCCCCCCCTGTCTTGGGGTCTGCTGCTGCTTCTCCTGTCCACCTCAAGTCTCCGTCTCTCCCCGCACCTTCTCCTGGATGGACTTCATCTCCAAAGCCTCCTTTGCAGAGCCCCGGGATTCCCCCGAACCACAAGGCGTCTCTGACCATGTCTTCTCCAGCCATGCTGGGGAACGTGGAGTCGGGTGAGTGCCACCTCCAGCAGCCAGATCCGGCGCTTTGGTTCGCGTCGGGTCACCCCACGTGGGTTCTCTCAGCAGGGCAGGGGCTGGATGGCTGCTTACCTCTTTGAGGGGGGCTGTGTGAGTGAAGGGCAAGGGCTTTTCCTCCTCTCCTATTTATGGGTGAGTACTGTGCCTCCCATGTGTCCAGCTGAGGGCTGATCACTCAGAGGACATAAAAGCAAAAGCATGGGGTCAGGAGGTGTGAAAAGATGTAGAGGGTTGATGGGAGAAATCTCTCCTTGGAGGGCTCTGGCCGTTGTAGCTCATGGTGATCGTAGCTTTGTGGAGAAGATCCTGCTTATGTTATGAAAACTCTTTGAAATAAAAAGCTCCTACAAAGACACGCTGAGCACACTTAGCCAGCCCTGTGTCCAGGCATGGTTCAGGTGTGGTTGGTGCTTTTCAGGTTTACACTGCAGACGGGAAGCTGTGCTTCGGTTTTTCAGGCTTCAGAGGTTCTGGAGTGATCTAATCACCGTAGCATTCAGTTGTGTGCCGAGCTGTGCCGTGCTTGGGACCTCAGGCTCCAGATGCTGGCATGCCTCTGTCCTCACCTTCCCGGAGCTCACCCTGCAGCACACTCACCCCTCTGGGCTGTCCTTCCCGCCCGGGAAATTTTTCCGGCTGGGAGAGAGAGAGGAGCCCTTTGCCCACGTTGCCCTCTAGTGCTGCCGCGGGTAACGGCGGCGGCCGGGATGGGGATTGGGATGGGGATTGGGATATGCCTGCGGGGCTGCTGGCAAGGGTAACCCCCCGGGGATTTCGGGCTGGGTCTGTGCTTGGGAAAGCAGACTGGCTGTTAGTGTCTGCTGAGGCCCGACCCGGCGTGAGCCTGGGTGCCTACAAGTCAGAACCTAGTGCTTTTGTCTGTGCCTTGTGGGTCCCTTCCAACCCAGAATAATCTGTGCAATCTGTGTGAAGTGTTGCTTGATGAGTGCTTTTACACGCAGCTCTTCCAAAGCATGAGTGTTTTGGCATTGCAGAATTTTAGTGTTATCTATTCTACTTTCCTTTTTTTTTGGTTGGGAGTGGCTGAGGAACGTGCAGTGAATTTTCAGTGAGAGTACAACTTCAGTTTAGCATCTTTCCTTCACAGCGGTGCGGGTTTCGTGGAATTTATCAGTGGAAGAACAAAAGAGATGGGCAGTGCAGTTACTTCTGGTTTTGGGAGAGCGAAGGATGATGTTAAGATAATAAGTACAGAGAATGCTTCTTTAACTGGAATAAGCAGCTAATATGTGTGTGTGAAATATGTGATGAAACAAACAGAGAGTTGTAGCTCCTCATGCAGTTTGTCAGAAATATCTGCCACAGTTTTCCTTGCGCTGCCTGTGTCTCTTGTGCTTGCTTGATGCCTCCTAAAGAAAAGGGGAAAGGAATTACAGTTGACATTTGGTGGATGCAGGAACAACTAAACAATTATAGATTATAGATTTTGATTTCTAACCCCTGTACCTAAGTCTGTCTTCGGTGTATGGAAATTGAATAGTAAGATTTTCAGACTAAACTGGTAATTCTTCATGTGGATTTGTAGAGGCTCAAGATAGTTCCAGTAGAAGTGTTTTCCAGTAGGATAACAGATATTGACCGGCTTGACCAGTAGTTGGTCTGTTCTGGTTACCTTTCACAGGCATTGACTATGTTAGTCATGTAAAGTTTTGCAGTAAAAAAGATTTCTAGTGTTTGAGATTTCTAGAGGAAAAGAGTTGGATTTAGTGAAAAAGGATGAAAAATTAAACTTACTTTCTGTCTTTTCCTTTTTTCCTAAGGTGGTCCACCTCCTTCCACAGTCAGCCAGTCTGCTCCTGTGACTCTCCCTGGAAACCTTCCCTCTAGCAGTCCTTACACAATGCCTCCAGAGCCAACCCTCTCCCAGAATCCCCTCTCCATTATGATGTCCAGGATGTCCAAATTTGCCATGCCGAGCTCTACGCCGCTCTATCACGATGCCATCAAAACTGTGGCCAGCTCGGATGATGACTCCCCTCCAGCCCGCTCCCCAAACTTGCCACCTATGAACAGTGTACCAGGTAAGAAAGTCAAAGAAACATTAGGCACAAAGTATCAGGCAGTACAGTGAGGGTGATTTTTACGGAAGCTTCATCAAATGAAGATGGTGAGAGGGGGGAAAAAACTCGAGGAATATATAGCCATGTGTTGTTTTTGAGGAAAGCAGTTGCAATTGTGTGAAATGCAGAGCTGGAAATTCTCCTTGGAGCTGGTTTTTTTTTTTTTTCTGTCCAGAAACTGTCTGATCTGGAAACCCTTTATGTATGGGGGAGATTTCCACTCAGGCAGACTGGAATTAATTGTGTGAGTGAAGGCTGCTCGTGGGAATAAGGGTCAGACTCTTACCCAGAGGAAACCATACCTCCCCTGTCTTAAGGCAGTGTCATAGAAGCTTCACTGGTTTTTTTGGGGTTGGTTTGGGTTTTTTTTTTTTTTTCACTGAATCATCAGGTCTAATCCTGAGCTTTGTGGACTGCCTTTTTAATGAAAGAGAGTGTTGGAGCACTTTCTGAAAACATAAACCTTCCCATACAGGGAATATGTAATGGCAGGTGACCTCAGCTAGGACTGAGGGGAAACTGTTTGGGTCCCTGCCTGAGAGACTTAAAGGAAAAGTAAAATAAACCATTGTCCTTTTGGGCTGTCGTGTGGGTGAGCATGTTTATATGAGAAATCTGGACCCTGCTGATAGCTTAATGTTCATGGGTACCTGTTTAATACAAAAGTAGGCTGTAAGTCCCTCCACCCAATTGAATTAGCAGCTGAAAGGAGGAATGGGTGGATGTTTCATGGGAGTGGCAATTGGTAATGAGTTCTTGCTGAGTTTACCCGTGGCTTTGCCGTGTGTTTCACGCAGTAATGATCGGGGTGGCTGAATGTATCTGGGGAAGCTGGCTAATTGAATAAGTTCACGATGATAACTCATTAACCTCATTGATCGCTGCCTCCTAGTCTTACAAGGGTTACCTGATTTATCACTGCTTGAGTTTTGAGAGGAGATTCGGTCACTTCCCAGTAGACAAGTGCCCATGTGCTGATAATCTGTCACAGACACGTTTGTTACTGCCTGCATCATGTGGACTGCCAGGGAGCTGTAGTAAAGGTGTGGGTTGGATTGAGATCCTCCTTATGGAGCAGGCTTTAGTCACTGTTTCATAGGGCAGTGAGAAGCTTAGGGAAGCAGCTATTCAGGTGCCATCGAATTTCTGGTTAAAATAACACTTTTCAGAGCCACGGCTGATGTTTTATTACTAGGGCTGATTTTTTTTTTTTTTTGGTGTGTGTGTGCAGACTTGATAACCTTGCAGAAAGCTCTCTGATAGCTTTATTGATTATTACTGGCTGCTGTCTAAACGTGATTCCTTATTTCTTCCCTAGGAATGGGCATTAATTCTCAGAATCCTCGAATTTCAGGTCCAAACCCAGTGGGTCCAATGCCAACCCTTAGCCCAATGGGAATGACCCAGCCTCTTTCCCATAACAACCAGATGCCCTCTCCAAATGCTATGGGACCCAATATACCTCCTCATGGGGTCCCTGTGGGACCCGGCCTGATGTCACACAACCCAATGATGGGGCACGGTTCCCAGGAGTCTCCAATGGTACCTCAAGGACGCCTGGGCTTCCCACAGGGGTTCCCTCCCGTACAGTCCCCTCCACAGCAGGTGCCATTTCCACACAACGGGCCCAGCGGTGGACAAGGCAACTTCCCAGCGGGAATGGGCTTCCACGGAGAAGGACCTCTGGGGCGTCCTACCAACCTGCCCCAAAGTTCGACAGATCCAGCACTTTGCAAGACTGGAGGCCCTGGCGGTCCAGACTCCTTCACTGTTCTTGGAAACAATATGCCTTCGGTTTTCACTGATCCAGAGCTGCAGGAGGTGATCCGCCCTGGAGCCACGGGAATACCCGAGTTCGACCTGTCCAGGATTATCCCGTCGGAGAAGCCCAGCCAGACACTACAGTATTTCCCTCGTGGGGAGGTGCCGGGCCGCAAGCAGCCGCAGGGTCCCGGGCCTGGCTTCTCCCACATGCAGGGGATGATAGGAGAGCAGACCCCGAGGATGGGACTAACGTTGCCTGGCATGGGGGGCCCCGGGCCGGTGGGAACTCCGGACATCCCCCTCGGGACGGCTCCGTCCATGCCGGGCCACAACCCGATGAGGCCGCCGGCCTTCCTGCAGCAGGGCATGATGGGGCCGCACCACCGCATGATGTCACCAGCACAGCCGGCCATGCCCGGCCAGCCCGCCCTCATGAGCAACCCCGTGGCCGCCGTGGGCATGATCCCGGGCAAGGACCGAGCCCCCGCGGGGCTGTACAGCCACCCGGGCCCTGTGGGGTCGCCCGGGATGATGATGTCAATGCAGGGCATGATGGGACCCCAACAAAACATCATGATTCCCCCCCAGATGAGGCCCCGAGGTATGGCTGCTGACGTTGGCATGGGAGGATTTAGCCAAGGCCCTGGAAACCCAGGGAACATGATGTTTTAAGCTGCTACCGTAAGACTGGATGTTCTGATCCTTGTCAAGATGAGATTCCGAGTCCTGAGGGCTTTTTTGGGAGCTTCAGGAGTACAGTTTGGCCATGCAATAGGTGAAAAGAGACCAGAGGACGCTTTGGGAAATCTCGAATGTATGGAATTACCTGAAAAAAAAAAAAAAAAATTATTCATTTAAACAGGTTGTTTTTTTTTTTAAGATTTATTTTTTAAAAATTATTTTTGTGGACTTGGGTATCCCGTGACGGCACCTGCTTTGAGAATCTGTAGCTGTATTTTGAGAATTGCCATTTGTCACAAGTTGCACCATTCTCTGTATGTTTACGTCCTTCGGACTGGCTTCTCCCAGGACTCTCGGTTATTTTTGGGGTTTTTTGTGTACTGTACTATATTGTAAAAGGGATTTTAGCAGAGACTTTTAGTCTTTGGGGTGAGAGGAGAATGGGATTCTAGGCTGTTTACTTTAGGTGGAGAATCCATCTTCAGAACTTCGGACTATTTTCCTTCAACACCCAATGTATAGAAAAACCAAACTACGACCTCAGAGCAGAGTATTAATGAAAAGCACAAAAAGGAACTTAAGTTCAGTGAGGGGAATCTTTTAAAAGAAATAAATAATAAGTTAAGGACATATTTTTCAAATTATGGCGTGCTGTCCAGCACCTTCTGTCTCTCCCTCCCACTCTTTATTAAATAGGCTTCTCTCTCTCCGTCCCCTTCTGTCTCCTCCTATGGCAGCTGCAATACATTGTGTTATTTTGGGGAGTAAATCTAGGAGAGCCTCTCCTCACGTGGGGACTCTTCCCACTTCTAGGAAGGGGCTGGACTTGGACACTGTTACATCCTACAGTAGTCTCTCTCACTGTTTCCTATTCTCCTTTTCTTAGAAACCCCAAGTGATTTTATTAATGTGGGAGTGGAACAGACACTAAAAGTGACCCAGGATTTTTTTTTTGTGGTTATTTTTTTTTTCCTCCCCAGCGTAAAACGTTCTGTGTAACCTCCATTAAATTTGGTACAAAACCACTCGCCAGGGCTGTGGTGTCAGAAAAATAAAATATATTGTTTCTTACAAAAATGAACTGTCTTCTTTATCCAGCCCAGTTCTTTCTGTGTACATCAAACAGCTGGCCAGGTGCCTGTTTGCTCTTCCTTATGATCACGGTGAGACTTAGAGGCCAGGTGGGTTAAGCTTTGGCAGCTCCTAAAAGTCTGGTCTGTAGGCAGCTGCTTGCAGGGCAGTTCTGTTCACTTAAATCCTGAGCTCGTTTCCTCTTGGAGAGAGGTCTTATTTCAGAACACCCCAGGGACAATAGTTACAGACTTCCTCAATTTGTTGAGGGTCAAGGAATAGATGAAACTTGTTGTCTCCGTCACTTCCTCACGGGGAGTGTTTGCAGCACTACAAGGTGTGTGGTTTTGAGCTCTCCCTAAGCACAGCAGTGTCTGTCTGCTGAGCTCTGGAGTCCAGTGCTATGGAGGGCACTGGGACTGTGTGTCCCTCTGGGGGCTTTGGATTGGGTCAGGTCTCTGACTGCCAGCACTGAGAGCCTGAGATAGTGGGGAAAGGATGAACTTAAATAACAGAGGTGAGATAGAAATTGTCAGTGAGCAGATTTTTATCAAGACAACCCTGCTGAGTAAATTGTTGCTTTGCTGCAGTTGTCATCGATTGCTTCCTAATCCCCTGTCTTTTCAAACTTGCCTTTTGAGATGATTTCAGAAAGAAGGTTTTATGGTCTTGCCTATGAGGAGTGAAAGGCTGGATGACAAAACCTGGACTGGGAGTTGAGATTTGCTCCTGGAGAAGACCAGGATGAGCCAGATGTGGGTCTGCAGGGCAGGGCGTGGGCTCTGTGGCTGTCTGTTCTCTGGTCCCCCAGCGCTGTATATGGAGTGTGTAATCTCTTCTTCCTTCCACTTGCCGCTACTTGAAATTATTTCAAGGAGTAGTTTCCTCCGAGGGCTGGCCATTAGTGTGAAACGTCACGTGGGGAATGAGTATTTTTAACATGATCGTGTGTAAGAATTTTTTAGAGTTAACTGGTTTTAGAGTTCACTTAACAGGTTGGAAACAGAATTCCTCTCGGTGGCCGATTTACCAAACTTTTGTTGCTGGTGTTATAGAATGAGTGGAGCCGTGCACTGTTGGCGGCACGCAAGCCTCAGAGCCTTCTGTTGCCTGCTTCCAAATTCACCTTTGTGCTGTCATGCAAATTTACGATGATTTTGGGTGAGAATTACTCTTTTGACAAAGTGTAGGATGTGTGTTGTGGTGCTTCCCTCTGACAAGACAGGCGGCGTGCCTGAAGCATGGGCTTGTCAAGATTTTAGAAGGAGCTGACAATGACACAGTAAGTGTTATTTCTGTAGAGTGGAATTACCTCTTCCTTAAGTGGTTGCACAGCTCCTTTTGAGGACCTTGCACGGGAATTGTCACAATGCAACCTTTTTAAGTGTTGCCACTCCTGCCACCACTCCTGACTGCTTTTAACCACGTTGAACAAAGCAAAGTTCTTGTAGAAGTAACGCAGAGGGTTTTGTTTGGTTGGTTGGTTTTTGTAACAGTCTTTCTCAGTGCCTCCTATGCCTGTTGAGGTATTTTGAATGGCAAAGGATTTGTGGTGGCTGTGACTTATTCTAGGAGAATTAGCATAGGGGATTCACTGTTTCAAAACCACTGGATAGTGAGGGGATACAATTTATAGATGCTTTGTCATTACAGTTCCTTCTGTGTCTGTCTGACTTATGATGCTGGCATTTGGTATCTCAATGAGATTTTTCCTACAGAAAATGCAGAAGGTGTGGATACTCTTGAGTCCACATAGGTGCACTTAACCTCGGTGATGTTGCCTGCTCTGCACCAGCAGATGGACAAGAGATGCTAACGTCAGTCTGTAGATGTAGACTGAACTTCATTGTTTTGCTTTGATTCTACTTCTTCCCTTTTTGCTTTGCAAATGAAAAAGCTTTCTAGCTGCCAGCCTTGCAGATTCACCTTAGGATCTGTAAGTCAGGCTCTGTTCTCTCCTGCTTATCAATAGTAACTTTGACTCAGCTCTGGTAGTCATGGTGCAGTTGAAGATGGAAAGTGGGGTTGCCATTTTTAGTTTTCTTCCCCTCCCCCTCCTCTCTTTTTTTTTTTTTTTTTAAACTTTCAAATCATCCTCCTCCACCTTTGTTTGAAAGAATGAAATAGACTTTATTCATACATGCTTGGCTGCTCTTCCTCTCTAGTAACATGGGAGGAAACAGTCTGCTGTTCAAATTATCTCATCCCAGATGGCTGCGCAGCCGGAGTGTGGAGAGACTTAAAAGGTAAACCCAGCAGATGGTGAACTTCTGAAACGCGAAGTAATGCGCCTGCTAAATCAAAAGTTTAAAATATTTGAAATCTGTTTGTTTTAAATTAGTAGACTTGCAGCCAGGTCATCTGTGAAACACACTGCCAGTTTTAAGCACCGTCCAAATAAACTTAGGCTTTGTATTTGTGTCATGGGCTAGCTTAATCTACCAAAGGAGATGACAAGCAGGTAGCCAGCCCTGTGAGAGTTTAGTCCTGACCTCCTAGTGGTGTCTAATGGGTCAAATTTCGGAAACAGACCAGTTCATGGGGATCTAATCTGCAGCACTCTTGGCTGGGATTCCAGTGCTGGTGGTGCTTCTGGGTACAGTACACGTGTCCTGACTCAGAGTAGATGTGGGGGTGCCCGACTCTTCCCGAGGGGTAAGTTGCAGTACAGCATTTTTTGTGCCAGACCGTTGGGACTACTGCAAATACAGGATATGCAGGGCTTAATTTTGTGGAGCTGCCTGTCTGCTATGCTGGTTTTCACTGGGATCACAGGAAAGGCTTCGTCTCGTTGGCGGTGCCCTTCTGCGCTCGTGATGGTGAATGCTTTCCTCGTGCAGGCTGCTGGCTGAAACCTGTTCCCTGCTGTGATCCTCCTCGAGGAGAAATGATCCGTGTTTGATACAGGCCTGTATTTAGCAGAGTGTACTTCACTGTGTCCATGGGTAGTAATTCTTAACCTAAAAATGGTTAATGATGCAGGAAAAAAAGCGATGCTTGTTTTTTTTTTTTCTGGGATACTGGGAAATAGTTGATTTCTGGGAATTTTTATTCCACGTTCTCAGAAATGCCTCAGCTTTTCCATGCCATGTTTGCAGTTCAGCACTTCCCACTCACCTGTGCCCTTTGGTATTAAAACTCTTCCACACTGTCCAACCAATCCTGTTCTGAAGTGATTATTTACTCTAGTTGTGGTCAGAAATAAATCCTCTTACATGCTGTGGGCCACAACTACCGTGGAATTGCTCAGTGGGATGGACCAATGCATGGCCCAACCACTCCCACACTGAGGGGAAGGGTAAGGCTGGAGCAGGGCAGAGAGGGCACTGCAGAAACTCTGTAACAGAGACAGTGATGAAGCAGCCTGTTCCCAGCAGTGCCTTCTTCCTAGCCACTGCCAGGGAGCTGGCGTGCTTTCCTGAGGTCTTCTGCTGTCACTGAAATGTATGTTACTCTGCCTAGAGTGATAGGAGTATTTTAACAGTGTGAATGCAGCGTCCTGTAACAATCTTACCTGCACTAGGACAACTGGCGATGCTGGGTGCTGTGGGTCTTGGCTGTGTTGCAGTTTTTGACCTGGTTGCTGGTCAGTTTTGCTGGGAGATGCTCCTAGTTATATTTTAACAGAAGGTGTGTGAATTCCCCCTTTGTTCACTGGTATGGCCAAAGCTTCTAGATGCCTTTTTCTAAGCAGTCCGTGCCTTAGAAATAACTTGCCATCATATTGCCTAATATCTTCATCACTGTTGTCCAAACACTTGAAACTGTGCATAAGGGAGAGCCCGATCAGAGCAGAACACACCGTTCTTAAAGCAAGGGTAGGGCCATTGATTTTTATTATGATGGCATTATGGTTTTAGGCTGTGTAAAAAAACTTGATGGAAAATAACAATGTTTTGTTTGCTTTTTTTGACAGCTTCTAATGGCAGCTCAGTGAGACCTCCAGCAATGTATTTAAGTATTCAAATTATTCTGTGCACTGTGCGTGGTGTCAACATGTAATTGTGGTGGGGGCAGGCTAATGAAAGAGTAGAGGTAAATTCAGCCCACGCTTCTCGGGGGAAAGGTGCT